ACACACACACATATATTTATAAGAATATACGAATATCATATTTATATTTATTTATCTAAATATGTTTAAATCAAATTATTATATTATTACATTACATTATATTATATTATACATCTAACACAGCAGCATTACTCATTTTATGAGGAGCTCCTGTGTTTGCTTAGATGTTGTTGTTACGCTACTGTTTCTGTAATGTTCCCTTGACGTTGCTTTAATGTTGTTTTAGTTGTAACATGTTATAATGTTACTGTAATATTGATGTAGTCAAAATGTAATTTGTCTGTAATATTATTTTGATATTTTTGTAATGTTGCTCTGATGCTCTCGTGTTTCTCTGCTCATACCGCTTCCACCAGACTGTCAGCGCTGCCTCTCTTCTCGCTGTATTGAGGACTGAGTTGGGTGGGGACTCTGAGGGTAGTGTAGGCTCTATACGGCTGCCCTCCTCCACCCGTAGAGGGTCCCGAGTACCATCCCGAACTGGGATGCCGAACCGACGCAGGCACTCCGACGGCACTGGCCTGTTTGTCCCAGATGCCCACAGATGCCCCTCCTGCTCCCTCCTCCTCCTCTACCAGGATGAGGGGAGCATAGAGGAGACGACCCCGTCGAGGGCCGGTGTTTGCCCAGGATGCTGTTGAATAATGACTGCTGAAAATTCAGGTTTGCCATCACAGGAATAAATTACATTTCATAATACATGAATATTATTGTATTAGATTTTATATTTTAAAATGATTTTATTAAATATAGTTTACTAGATAATTTTATTTAATATAAAGTCCATAGATAATATATGATGCTGTTGAACCCGTGGATGATCTAGCGCTGCTTTGACGAGAATCGTAGCTGCCGTATCCCTAAAAGGGAGAGAAAGAAACAGAGGAAGACTGAGTCACATAGATTCTGTTCAAACTCACTTTCATAATGCTGTGACTCGTTAATATTCAAGGGAGTCACTTCAGTTATAAAAAGCAGTTGACAATCAGGAACTGTGAACTGTATGAAGATAAGGTGTTTCTTCAACTACAGGCAAGTTTAGACCCTGTGGACTTTTGGAAAACAAAATTTTTGTCTCAGTGTTCATTTTCAAGCTTGTTTAATTTGTCTGCTATAAGACTAATTTCACAAGTAACATTTTATGCATCCTAAATAAATACATAAAAAGAAAATATTTTCACACAAACATATCTCACATATGGTCACATATATTCACAACAATTAGCCCATAATAAACTTTTTTCAAAAATGTATTTACTGAGCAGTGTTAGTGAAGCACATACTTGAGATTGATATGCGAGACGTAATATGTAATATATAAAAATAATTTTTACACGATGCATATTAAGATATGTACATTTATTTAGCAGTTTGTTTGTTTTCATAGTTGTTAAAATAATTACTATTTCATTCATATTGAAAGCCTGGGTCTGGGAAAAGGGAACAAACTATAAAATCAAATGCATTTGAAAAGCAGAAAAAAAGTTTTAATGTGATCTTCATTTTACAAAAACTGATTAATTTTCATGTCATTCATTTTAATGTTTTATTTTATAATCCATGCCACCTTAGTCAGCGAATAAAACATAAATGCAGTGTAATAAATAAAATCCATGTGTGAACTTAAATACGAAAATGATGTAACTGTAACATTGGAGAAGATGTAAAAACAAAAAGAACACATTATTTGATAGTGTGCCATGGACAAGAAATGATATCTAGTAATATTACCTGTGAACGCACTCTGCAGGGTGGGGAGTTCTGATGGTATGTTCCTGGGATGGGCAGATCATCGTTGCTACCTTGCCTTCTTAAACACTGTATGTTAAATGAAGCCTTTCTCCCTGAGAAACGGACAAAAAATAATGAAAAGCAGTGACATTTACAGATTACTTATACAGGTTCAGTGCAACCCTTTATTACATAAAATATTATAAATAACAATTATTAAATAAATAATTCGCAATTGATCATTTTACCAGTAGGTGTTGCTGGCAGCAGGCGTCTCCGTGCCGTCCTCCTGCCTTCACCATAACTGTTTCCATAATGTTTACCGTAGACAGGGTGCCTCATAGAGTGTCCATCACACATGTCTCTATGTACCGGGTACATTGTGCTGTCCTCTGGATAACTGTGCCTGAGGACAAAAACGATTTTATGGATTATAATCCATAAAAATAATCAGCATCCAAATATGAATTAATTTATTCAGGCACAGGTAATACTTTATGAGTACCTTTCTCTAGAGATGACGCTCTCGCTGTCCTCATCTTTTCCATAGAAGCGCTGCTCTCCAGGGTACTCACCATCTTCCTCTCTCCGAGATAGTGGAGAAGAGAATCTGTCCCTGGAGTCTCTCCTGAGGGAGAAAAAAGGAAACCGGCAGTCTGAGAGAACAGCAGACAGGAACAGACAGAGAAGGGTAATGGGTGATTCCGCAGACTGTGCTGAATGCTTACCTTGGGTATTTGTAATATGATGGTCTATCAAACAAACACACACAAAAAAACACAAAAAAACAGTATGTAAAATAAATTACCAATAAACTGCATAATATGAGTTATAATATAAATAAATACAGTACAAACAACTAGTTGTACCTCCTGGGCAGCTGGTCAGTCACGCCATTCTTGTGTTGGTAATGAAAGGAGGAACGCATGCTGTCTCTTCTTCTGAAGTTCTCGTGCTCCAGAGTGCCATTCCCATTTGGTGTTTTTGCTAAGGAGCTCCTACGTCCCAGTCCCCCATTTAGGATGCCATCTCCTGAGACAGGAACCGGAGCACCGCTGGGAGTAGTGGCCAAAGAGGAGCGCCGGCTTTTGCTTGAGGGCTCAGTGTGGCCTGCATAGCCATTTTCGTTCTAAGAGGCCAGTGATATGAGAGAGAAAAAAACAACAACAGAATACTGTATTAAAATATATGTAATGCAACAACAAAACATTCCAAATCATAGCCATTTTTTTAAATTATATATATATTTATAAATTATATTTACACTACCGTTCAAAGTTTGTTCTCAGTACAATTTGTTTTTGAAAAAAGTCACATTAAATTAATCAAAACTGACAGCAAAGACATTTATAATGTTACAAAAAATAAAATCAATTTCAAATAAATGCTGTTTTTTTAAACATCCTATTTGCATTCTGTTTGCAACAAGAAATGTTTTTTGGGCACCAAATCAGCGTACTAGAATGATTTCTGATGGATCATGTGACACTGAAGACTATGTTAGCATTTGCTTGTGGCTGAACCTATACAAAAACAAAAACAAACGGAGGCCCAGTGGCCTAATGGATAAGGTGTCAGCCCCTGGAGCTGGAGATTGTGGGTTCAAGTGCCACTTGGGTCTCAAGCCTTTTGATGTTGCTAACAGGGCAAGGACTCACAACACTTTAAAAGTGTGCTGCAAAAATTATTGTGCCTTTGAGCACAAATTACTCAACTTACACTACAGGTGGTGCACATTTACAAAGGAAAGCAACTATTAGCAATCATGCACTCTATGATTGACGTGTAAACAAATTATGCACCTAGATATATGATGAATGCTGGCAACTTGAATGACTAAGGGAAGGGAATGCAATAGTTTATATACTCATTTCATGTAACCAACCAAACCACAACATTTACACCTACACCACAAAATCCTCAGCCCAAACTTCTATTCATTACCTGATATCTGCTCCTGTCTGGTACTCAAATTACCATCCATCTCAATAGACCAAGCGCCTCATTACTCTGAAAAATTATCTAAGCCTTCTGTCTCTGACTATTTGGATATAATGGACAATTTTCTATTCAGCAAATTTATAAGATGACTTCAGTGTGCTTCAGTTAATTGACTGAAAAAAAGAGTAATTACACTTTCAGAAATGTGCTCCAAAATACGATTAATGGTCCAAGTGATAAGCACCTTATAACATGGATCATCTTCCACTTGCTCCTCCTCCAGGCCCTCCTCTTCCTCCTCCAGATCTTCGTTCATGGCCAGTCTCATTTCTGGCCCCAGGTCCTGCAGAGTTCGCAGCCCCGCCTGACACAGATGCACACGGAAAGAGACAAGTGCCACAGTATATATGCAGCTCAGCATACAGCTGAGTTATACAATACATACAATCAGGCACAATACATACAGTATAGACAATCAGGCTTCAGACACTAATTTATGTAAAAAACAAACAAAAAACAAACAAACAGAAATTGCTAAATTTTGGCCCAGCAGTTTAACAGAGTTTGCAGCAACTAAAGGGGGGCCCAGCTGCCAGCTGGGGATTGTGTGGTCGTGTCCCACCTGGGTTGCAAACCTAAAACTTTGTGTTGCAACAGAAAATGTAAGTTAAAACTGCAGTGAGTCCTGCTTGATGAGTTTGCTAGGATCATATGAGAAGGACTGAGGTCGCAAACATAACAATGATAATTTCAAACCAAGTAGGGCTGCAAAAGGATTGCTGTTGTTTTCATGGTTTATACTTAGTATTATTGACTGAGACTACATGGAAAAAAGCTTTTAAAAAACAGTGGCCTAATGGCTATGGTATCAGCCTCCGGAGCTGGGGATTGTGGGTTCAAGTCCCACCTGGGTCATGCGATAAGTTTCCTTTATGGTGAAAAGTGTTTTTCAAAACTTTTACTCTAAGATTGGCAGATCGTGAAAAAAAAACAACCTGTAAGAATGATAAAATGCATGCAGCATGGCCACAAACCCACACATGTAACATCAACCCACCAATGACAGCACACCCACAGAGAATAATAATCACTGTGTAAGGTGATACTTGGCATGAAGACAGTGAGGATCACAGTTCTATAGTGAAGACTTTTGTTAGTTTAGTCTGCTTCAGTGGATCATCTCTCAATGTGGGATTTGTACAAAGCCATTAAATAATTCAAGTTAGGGCTGCACGAGAAAATTTTGGCCCAGCAGTTTAACAGAGTTTGCAGCAACTAAAGGGGGGCCCAGCTGCCTAATGTATAAGGCATCAGACTCCGGAGCTGGGGATTGTGTGGTCGTGTCCCACCTGGGTTGCAAACCTAAAACTTTGTGTTGCAACAGAAAATGTAAGTTAAAACTGCAGTGAGTCCTGCTTGATGAGTTTGCTAGGATCATATGAGAAGGACTGAGGTCGCAAACATAACAATGATAATTTCAAACCAAGTAGGGCTGCAAAAGGATTGCTGTTGTTTTCATGGTTTATACTTAGTATTATTGACTGAGACTACATGGAAAAAAGCTTTTAAAAAACAGTGGCCTAATGGCTATGGTATCAGCCTCCGGAGCTGGGGATTGTGGGTTCAAGTCCCACCTGGGTCATGCGATAAGTTTCCTTTATGGTGAAAAGTGTTTTTCAAAACTTTTACTCTAAGATTGGCAGATCGTGAAAAAAAAACAACCTGTAAGAATGATAAAATGCATGCAGCATGGCCACAAACCCACACATGTAACATCAACCCACCAATGACAGCACACCCACAGAGAATAATAATCACTGTGTAAGGTGATACTTGGCATGAAGACAGTGAGGATCACAGTTCTATAGTGAAGACTTTTGTTAGTTTAGTCTGCTTCAGTGGATCATCTCTCAATGTGGGATTTGTACAAAGCCATTAAATAATTCAAGTTAGGGCTGCACGAGTAATCGAATGCGATTGTCATGCGCATCTTGTCAGTAAAGCCGGTTCTGTGATTAGTAGTAAATCTCCAGCACGTGCTTTCAGATGGAGCAGCATTTACTACACAGAGTTCACTGACAAGCTACGCAAAATCGCGTTCATAATCGCAGACGATTTAATCACGCGATTATGAAATCAAAGAAATCGTTCTGCGATTATGAAAGCTGTTTGCGTAGCTTGTCAGTGAACTACGGCTCTGTGTAGTAAATGCTGCTCCATCTGAAAGCACGTGAATAAGGCACACAACATATTTCATTATATGTTCAATATTCTAAGCAGTGATAAAGACTATGTCGATTAGCAATGCATTATTATATATTTTCTTATAATAAAAATTATGATAAGACGAACTCGGATAAACCATATACTGTCGTGATCGTGTGTTTATTAGTCACGTTGAATTAATGAAAGCAGTTAAATCTGTTTATTCAGCAACCGCTATAGGGATTTCCTGGGTTTCTACTGCCAGGCGTATTTGGAGTTTCAGCACGAGAGCGCACTCTGGCCTTCGGATGGAGATTTACTGCTGATCACAGAACCGTGCTTCACTGAAAGATATGCATGCCAATCGCAGCTTCTGCCTAATCGCGATTTATCACCTTTGCGATTTAATTTCAATTAATCGTGCAGCCCTAATTCAAGTCATCTGTCTTTGAGATTTTATTTTGTGCAAGTGCGGGGCATTTTGCATTAAATATGTGATTTAGAAAATGCAATGGTATTATTGTGTCCAGATAATATGGAAATTACTCTCCAGAAATAACATGCAGAAGCTGGGATAGAGATCTACCTGTAGAGCTAAAGGGTTACCATTCTCTGAATCTCCCAGACCCACTATCTCTTTCCTTTTCCGGAACTTCCTGAAATAGTCCTGGATCAAGAATGTGGCATAGAATTTACCCACAGTCACTTCCTCCTCTGTAAAATAACCAACAAAGAATGTTGCAAATAAAACAGCACAAGAAGTTGAAAAATGTTTCTGATTTGTGTAACTGTGTTGAGGATGCCTTTTAAATGACAGTTAAACAGGAATTGAGACAGTGTATTCTGTTTATGCGTGATCATTTTGCAATTGAGTAAATTCCTCATTTCATTTCAAATAAAAAATTCTGTAGGCTATAGAAAATTAAATTCCAATTCACACTTAAAATGGAGCCAACTCATAAATTCTGAATTTTGCCAAACCCTGGTGCATTGTGGTAATTTTACTGATTTAAAGAACTAGATAAATGTAATCCAGAAAGAACTCACCAGCAGGGGGTGGAATAACCTCATCCAATATTTTGGGTTTTGTTCTCTTCCAAATCTTCTTAATGATGATTCTCAAATCTTCGTTCTCTTGATCAGGGTTCCCTGAAAACAACACAATACAGCCACATCAGCTTACACAGCTACCTATGACCATGTCCTTTGACCATGACACAGATTGTCTTATTCATTCTCAAACAACTTTACTGCATATTGTTATTCTGCATGGTAACCTATATGGTTGTATGTGGTTGAATTCAGTGATGTTTAATTTGAAAGGAAAAAGATGACAATGAAAGAAGGCCTCCAGTATTTATATCCAAAGCACACCTTCATATGAATCACTTGTAGCTCAAACAGAGGTGAAGTGGATGAGTATGCAGAGGGTGTGTGTGTTTGTGTGTATACCCATACTGACCCTCAGTTTTAATTTTCAGAGCAGTTCTGACCAGGGCAAACAGGGTGGCATTGAAGGTCACCGTACCATCACTGTTCAGGGGCATATTCATGGCAACCAGCCTCTGACAAATAGAGAGAGGGAGATATAGTGAGAGAGAAAGAAAGGAAAGCGAACAGACCATGTGGATTTTGTGTGTGTATCTGTACCTTGCAGGCCACACGGTGAGGGCAGAGCTTTCCAAATCCAAGTGGCGGCTGGATTCTCCTGAGCAAAGCCACTACATCCAAATGTTTTATACGACCCCTGGAAAACAAACACACATTTAATTAAACTAAAAAATAAATTAAAAAGCATTAGAGAGAGACTGATAATCTTACTTGGCTTCAGGGTCATACTCTGACCAGATTCTTTTAAACTCATCCAGGTGATGTGGCCCGAGAATTGACCAATCACGGGTCAGATAGTCAAAATTGTCCATAATGACAGCAACAAACAGATTAATAATCTGAAAAATCACAACAAAGACAAACATTTGCATTTCACTATGCAAATCACACTGAAAACATTTCAGCCAACAAAAGGCTATCGTGCCTTGCATAATGATTACTAAGAAGAGCTCAGCAATGATTTTTTTTCTGTACAAATACTTATTCATAGTTTCATTTGTCCGAAAAAAAGTAAAAATGTAAGAGTTTTCTTAAAAAAAATGAACACGTTAAGAACAAAAAAAAAACATCACTAGGTTTTACATTTTTAATAAAGCTGGGAAATCATACAGCCACAATGTAACTGCATGACAAAAGTTATAAAGGGAAAGTTATGAAGAATAGAGTAAACAACAGCATTTTACCAAGAAGGCACAGAGCATAAAGAAACTGATAAAGTAGACAATGGCAATGTTGCTGCCGCAGGAGAATTCTTCCCCGGGTTCAAAGTCTGACTCTGGGTCACAGCGCTTTCCTGGAAGACTGGCCAACATGATCTCCTGCCACGCTTCACCTGTTGCACACCTGCACATGAAGAGCAAAGATGCTTTTATCCAAAACAACTTACATTGTATTCAAGGTATACATTTTTATCAGATCATGCATTTCAAATCCATGAACTTGATGTTGCTAGTACCATGCTCTTCTGTTCTGACTGTGAGTGACAGAAAAACACACTCTCACCTGAAAAGAAGCAGCACAGCCTGCGGAAAAGTCTGAAAATTGTTGTTCCTGTTAATTTGTGTGTGGTCATGCATGGCGATCTTTCCGAAGGTCTGATGAATAAAGCATTAATTATTTTTAAATGGTTTAGTTGTTCATAAAAAAACAACCTGTTTCTTTAAAAATAATAGAAATAGTATAAACTAAAAATATAACAAAAAACATATATAAAATATAATAATAATAATAAAAAATAATATATACATTTTCCCAGCCTTCAATTACCTGCATTCCAATTACAGCATAGATGAAGAAGATCATAGCGATCAGAAGAGCAACATACGGCAGGGCCTGAGGGACAACAAGAACATTTAGACTACAACATTTGCTCAAAATATGAAAACTGTTTTAGTAATCATTGTCCTCTGACCTGGAGTGATTTCACAAAAGTCCAGAGCAGGGTACGAATGCCCTCTCCCTTGCTGAGCAGCTTAACCAATCGCATTACACGAAACAGGCGGAAGAAAGTAATGGACACACGAGAGCTGTCCTCTGAGCTCTAAGGAGAAAGAAAAGAGAAAATGAACTATAAGTGAGCTAATGTCTGCATTAAACACAAATAGAATCATTTTTAGAAGTTAATAAGACTCAAATGATAGTTGAGACAGAAAAAAATTACCACTGATTTGAACTTGAACTGCACAATATGGCAAGTAATCTGTGCATGTTTAGCCTATATTATAGAACCATATCTATTTCAGTCTAGTTGGTTGCATAAGGAATAGAGAAACTCACACTGAACTCTGTAACCACAATGTCCACCACACTTCCCACCACAATCAGAGCATCAAAGGAATTCCATGCGTCGATAAAGTAATGCTGCAGAACAGGAAAAAAATTATTAAAAATCAACCAGATATTAAGAAGAACATACTTGAAATATTCAAGATGAAATAAAGCTTCAGAATGAAAAGTGAAATGACTGACCCTGAGTCTGAGAGCCATCAGTTTAATAATCATCTCCACAGTGAAAAGGCCGGTGAAAACCATATTGAGGATGTCCATCACATAACTAAAAAATTTTGACTGGTCATAGTGCTGTGAAAGAATCCAGAAAGAGTGTGATTCTACATTCAGCATTTGACTTAGGATCAGCCTCAAATCATTCAGTCTTGATTTTTCTACTTCGTAGACATACATGTTTAGATTTATGTCAATTTATAGAGGCCTTCTTCAACCATTTCAGTGCAACTGACTTCTCTTTCAAATGGTGCTACTCCATACTATTTTATTCTCAATACTATTTCAGCACTGGCCTCAGTGTTCATGTTGGATTTTAAGTATGCTCATATAAGCTCAGATTCTCAATACTAAAAATAGACTAAAATGACTTTGTCTGTGGTTCTATATGCTGATTATACAGCTTTTGTAAGACTTTTCAGACTCAGCTGTTTACCTGCACAGCGAGAGTAACAGTGTTGAGGAGAATCAGCACAAACATGATGTACTCAAACCCTGTGGAGTTGATTATAGACCAGAACTTGTACTGCACTGGGTTTTTGGGGATGTACAGCTTCAGCGGCTGGGCCTTTAGGGCGTATTCCACACACTGTCTCTGTAAGTAACAAAAAGAACGAGATGTAATGTGAAAAATACACACTGGAGGGCAATAGTGCAACTCAACTCAAATGGGCTTTTATTCAAAATGAAAAGTCAACATGAAATCGTATATACTTCCCCTTAATACAAGTTTCAGTTCTTATTATGAACGATTTATCTGTGCATAATAACACTTAGACTGCAATAGCAAAATAGCTATTTATTCAAACATGCATTTTTTTAAAACAAAAATACGGTAAAAACAGTAATATTGTGAAATATTATTAAACTTTGAAATAACTGATTTCTATTTTAATATATTTTAAATGTAATTTATTCTTGTGGTGGCAAAGCTAAATTTTCAGCAGCCATTACTCTAGTCTTCAGTGTTACATGATCCTTCAGAAATCTTTCTTATATGATGATTTGATGCTCAAAAACATTTTTTTATTATTATCAATGTAGAAAACAGTTGTGCTGCTTGATATTTTTGTGGAAACTATGATACATTATTTTTTGTGGAAATTATGACACTTTTTTAGGATGATTTGATGAATGTAAAGTTCAAAAGGACAGTATGTATTTTAAATATAAATCACTTTTGACCAAATTAATGCATCCCTGCTAAATAAAATATTAATTTATTTTAATGATTTGATTTAATTTTTGACCCCAAACTTTGAAAAATAGTATGTCACATTACAGAGGTAAAATTGGTTGTGAACTTAAATGCAAAATACTGGAACATGTCAAATATTCTTTAAAATAGCCTTTCTTCCAACCTGATTTTTGTCCAGCTCACAGTTCTTGAACTCAGCCTCTCCTTGCTCACGAAAAGTGATGATGACAAAACCCACGAAGATGTTCATCATGAAGAAGGCGATGATGATGATGTAGACGATGAAGAATATAGAGATCTCCACACGGTAGTTGTAAATGGGGCCGTGATTTTCTGCATTGGCATCAATGGCTTTGTAGAGCAGCCTGAACGAGGAAAAATGGGATGTGGAGCATATTGTACAAACATGGTCATGGTGGTCTTCAGTGACATATGGAGAAAGATGTCAAAGACTCACGCTGGCCAACCCTCAAAAGTGGAGACTGTAAACAGGGCCATCATTCCCATCAGTACATTATCGAAGTTGAATTCACTGTTGATCCAGATCCTCTCTCTCACCATTGGATGACTCACATCTCCATCTTTATACACCACAAATGTGCCCCTGTGTCACAAAAACACACACACACACACACACACACACACAGAACCAATTTGTAGGCACAAATAGATGTACAAATAGACCACAAACACTCATGACACATACAGTAAGCATACATGTTGGCCAAATGCACACACATATGGTTAATGTAAGAACAGAATTAAACAGTAATGATAGATGCAGAAATATGACATACTTGCACTGTTCTGGAGTGTTTTTAGCTTCATCTGTGCAACGATAAAATTTTCCCTACAAAATACAACAGTAATAATGCATTACAAAGTAAATTAGTACATATTAGTATATAGGTATACTGTATGCTAATGTTAAACTTGTGGGAGCACAGGATGTAGACAGCCTTTTCTGTGTGTGTTTTACCTTGAAAAGCTGAACACCGATGCACGCAAACATGAACTGAAGTAGAGTGGTGACGATCATGATGTTCCCGATAGTCCTTATAGCCACAAACACACACTGTACCACATGCTACATACAGTACACACACACACACACAGAGAGAGTGAAATTGAGTTTGCATAATATCACGAACAGAGAAACACTCAAACTATTTTGTGAATATGAATTACACTAACATTCAAAAGTATAAGGACGTATTAAATTGTTCAAAAATGACAGTAAAGAGGTATATTACAAAATACTTCTATTTCAAATAAATGTTGTTCTTTTGAACTTTCTATTTATCAAATAATCCTGCAAAATGTATCATGGTTTCCACAACACTATTAATCAGTACAAATGTTTCTCACGAGCACCAAATCAGCATTTTAGGATGACATGAAGGATCATATGACACTGAAGACTGGAGTAATGGCTGCTGAGTAATGGCTTATTTTAAATTGTAATAATATTACAATATTACTGTATTTTATACTACTATATTTTACTGTATTTTTTTATCAAATAAATGCTGCCTTAGTGAACATAAGGGACTTCTTTCAAAAACAAAAAAAAAGCTTATAGAGCCCAACATTTTGCATGTCATTCACATGTCAAGATTAGAGTATGCAAATGTGATAAGATAAGAGGCAAAGAAAAGGAGTAAGTTATAATTTACAGAAATATTGTCATAATTGGCAAATTACATATATACATGCCTTTAATACTTTTGCCAACAACTACATGTGCAGATAAAGCACAGACACAAACACACTAAAAGATGTACCTTAAGTCCTTTGGCTCTGTTGATCGCTCGAAGAGGCCTCAGAACTCTGAGCACCCTTAGGATCTTCACTACAGAGATGGCACTCGAACTAAGAGAGAGAAAATGCAAGAGAGGTTTGACTTTGTATATGTGGACGCAAAAAGCATAGACTGATCTTCATTTCTTCTTCAATGTCTCTTAACAGTGTGATTTATATGGTTTCATAAGCAATCAAGTCATTACCCCTTTCACCTCATCAGAGTGAATACGGGTATTTCACTTTTTCATACAATTATGTGCCCAAGTAAATACTATCAATATTTAAATTAATAGTTGAAAACATTTGGGCATCAGATTTTTATTTATTTATTTATTTTCACATTTCGCATTTGCATTGCATTCAAAGCTGGATATGGGAGCCATCTTCATTTATCCACCAGAGGGCGATGCATACACTTACATACACTGATCCATACATCAGATATCTCACAGATTCACAGTAATTATGAATTGGGAACTTTTTATATCTATATGAGTGTAGTGGACTTACTGTAAGAAGAAGGAGACCAGAGACACAGTGACCACCAAAAGATCCAACAAATTAAACCAGTTTCTACAAAAGGAACCCTGATGGAGGAATGCGCCATGCACTGTCATCTACACAGAGAAAAGCGAAGGGATATTTGAAGAAACATGAGGGCATTTCAGTGTAGCAAAAATTCAGTTGTTTACAAAAACATTTGATTGATTGATCGATCAGTACCTTCAGTAAGATCTCCACAGTGAATATAGAAGTGAAAGCATAATCAGCATAACCCAACACCTGTAGAGAGCAAAAAATCAGTTCCTTTGATATGAAAAAAATAATTTCTCACTGGCATGAATGATGTATGGTGACAGATTTGTGGCATCCATTGCTGTTGAAGATTCCTACCAAACAATCATGGTCTGAACCCTCACCATAATGTCTTCCGAAACCTTCAGGGAAATAATAGGTTGATAACCATTTGTTCAGGCCCTTGACCCCAGTCCTGACCCCAAATCCCAATTCTGATTGCTTGATCCCAATGTTGTTCCAGGACTAACAAGGATGCTGATCAAAGAACATGTCCTACTTAGGACAAGCTATATGTTTATGTGTGTGCGTGCGTGTGTGTTTGATGGTCAGCTGATTGAGGGATGGCATTCACCAGCTGGCACCGAAGAGCTCGTCCAACATGCCAATCAGGACAGCTGCAGTAAATAGCTATTTATGATGCTGCTTGTGTGTGAGCAGGAAACTCACATTGTTCCTGAAGGAGTGAGCTCTGATAGGGTCCTCCGCAGCCAGAGAAATGCTGCTGAGAATGATGAAGACCAGGATGAGATTAGTGAAGATGTGGTGATGGATCACGGTATGGCAGCCCACTCTTATTCTGGAGGAAGACACAAAGAGAACTGCGGTTAGCTGTGTGTTGTCTACATGGTCCAAAATAAAAAAATATTTTTTTTTTCCTCCACGTTGTTCAACTCACGAGGTGCATGAAAAAACATAAGCCACAAAGGCATTTTACACGATCATGAACACGCTGTGTCCAAAACTACTTGTTAACCATTAAGTAAATAGGTAATGTCACAAAAATCATTGAGTGAGTGAAAATGAATGCATTTGGATGCATTTCCAGACATTATCGTACATTTTGAATTGTTACATATGTGTTGCATTCCAAATAATTCCAGATTTTGCGTTTGAGTTTGTAAACAGAGGGAAAACTCGTGTTCTTGCTGTTTAAACTACAAAAATAAAACAGATTTGAGTCAGATATGATTTTTACTGTTTATCTTAACAAAGTTAAAGAGATTTGACTTGTTTACTGAACATAGGGTGAAATTTATCTGAGAAGTCAAACATTTTATTTTATTGACAAATAACTCCAGAACTTTGTTCTGACACATTCCTGGTGAAAATATGAGGAAACACTATTTACATGTTTAAGGTGGAGTGAGTGCCAAAAATATAGTAAAAGGGAAAAAAGGCAAAGTAATTTCTATGGCATAACGCAAAATACTGTTATATGACTGGTTTAAAAAAAAAATGTTTTTTTTCCCCCAAAAGTATTTTGGAATAGTTGTGGAATACCTGGAATCCTTGTTTAAAGTATTTTACATAAAGAAAATATTTACACAAATATATATTTATTTAACATAGTAACAAAGATTGAATTATAGTTAATCCAAAATGTATTTTGTTTACTCACCCTCAAGTCATTCCAAACCTGTATGACCTACTTTCTTCACCACTAAAGAAGACATTTTGAAGAATGTAACCAAACAGTTTTGATAACCATTGACTTCCATTGTAAGGACGAAAAACACAGAAACAAAAAAAAATCTTTATTTTTGTGCTGCAAGGAAAATAAAATCTTACAGGTTTGGAATAACACAAGTAAGCAAGTCTTGTAATAGTGTGTGAGTGGTTCAAAGTGCACACTCACGGGTTGGTCTTGCTGAGGCAGAAGAATGCGCTGCCCTCTGGGATTGGTAGAACTTTCTCTTTAGGAGGAGCGAAGTCAGCAACATTGAGCTGAGTTATCCCTTCTTCTGGTAGAGAAGAACAGAAAGAAAAAGAGAGGGAGAGATAGACCGAGAGAAACTGAGTTAATGAGATCACAATATAGTTCTATCACCACTGTGCCCTTGAGTAGCCAACACTAAACCACAGGACGCTCAGAGGGACTGTTAGTGCAACGAGTGTGTGCTGTAAGATGAGTAAATATGGTCACAAATGTCTTCTAAATCACTACAAAACATTTCAGAATGAACAAACTGTTCCAATGCAATATGCTGTCTAATGTCTGTGGACTTTACCTCCATCATCTCCCTCTTCAGGCTCCTCCTCTTCCTCATACTCATCATCCATGTCCACCTGTTGAAAACAGAATTCAAGAAAGACCTCAATGTGACAATTATTCAACAACAACAAAGACAGAGGAGTTTGATTTCCATACCTTCACCTCTTTGTTCTCTCTTTCACTTTCACCTTCACCCGGTCCCTCTTTTTTTTCTCTGTCAGGATCAACAGAACCGCATGTCATAATTTTTGTTTGTTTTTGCATATACAGTACAGTGGGTGAAAATGCTTCTATTTTGCACTTTTTTTATTTAACATTTTTTAAAAATAAAACATTATCAGCATAAAAATTTCAGTAAAATGTTGAAATGAAAAATTAACATGAATGTCAGAATGTCTTAGCATTTGATTTATCTCCCTTTTGCTTTAATGAAAGAATCTTAATTCGTATTAGTTCGTAAGGTGTCTGTTATAGATCTTCTTTTTTTTTTTTAAACCTTTTCTTTTTTTCTTTTTCTAGGTTTAAATCTTAGATTTTCAGTGTGAACTTTGAATGATAAATGCGTATTCTGTCATATTTAGAAAGATAGATGAGTTGAGATTTAATATGATCTGAGATGGTTTAAAAACACACTCATTTTTCTTATTGTCTCCATCGGTCCCTCTTTTTTTTCTCTGTCAGGATCAACAGAACCGCATGTCATAATTTTTGTTTGTTTTTGCATATACAGTACAGTGGGTGAAAATGCTTCTATTTTGCACTTTTTTTATTTAACATTTTTTTAAAATAAAACATTATCAGCATAAAAATTTCAGTAAAATGTTGAAATGAAAAATTAACATGAATGTCAGAATGTCTTAGCATTTGATTTATCTCCCTTTTGCTTTAATGAAAGAATCTTAATTCGTATTAGTTCGTAAGGTGTCTGTTATAGATCTTCTTTTTTTTTTTTAAACCTTTTCTTTTTTTCTTTTTCTAGGTTTAAATCTTAGATTTTCAGTGTGAACTTTGAATGATAAATGCGTATTCTGTCATATTTAGAAAGATAGATGAGTTGAGATTTAATATGATCTGAGATGGTTTAAAAACACACTCATTTTTCTTATTGTCTCCATCGCCTCCTGCTAAGTTGTCGACAGCAATGGCCAAGAAGACGTTCAGCAGGATATCTTAGAGAGCAGAGGTTAAGACCCAACAACCATACAAACAGAAAAATAGCAAACTAAGACCAACATCAACAACAAAACAGAAATCAGGATTTGCACTAAGGATGGTGAGATATGTTTGCTTTTCAATCAAATAACAACGTTGTTGAAATAGTGTTAAGTTGGAAACTAGTAGACAACTGCATTGTGGTAGCTCAAACAGTAAAGCTTGACACTAATGATACAAAGGCTGTGGGTTCGATTCCCAAGGAATGCTTTAATCAACCCAATGAATACCTAGAATGCAATGAAAGTCGCTTTGTTAATGAATGTAATAAATGTAAATGAATAAAACTGTTGGTGTTTCATTGATGATATCAGATAAACAAAATGAAAGCATAATAAATAAGCAAGTGAAACTGGTTTCAGATAGAAAAGGATACAATTACCACAAATGAACAAAATCACAAAATAAAGACAGACGATCATTCCAGGGAAAACCGGGCCGCCGTATGCCATGATACCATCATACATTACTACATTCCAGTCTTCACCTGTTAATATCTGTAGAGAAAAAAAGACCTACATTTAGCACAAAAACCTTAATAGCTCAGCTATACAAAAAATTTAAAACAATGACTTCCTGAACTTTATGCTTTAAAGGGTTAGTTCACCCAAAAATGAAATTCAAATACCTAGAATGCAATGAAAGTCGCTTTGTTAATGAATTAATAAATGTAAATGAATAAAACTGTTGGTGTTTCATTGATGATATGAATGAAACCAGGTGAAACTGGTTTCAGATAGAAAAGGATACAATTACCACAAATGAACAAAATCACAAAATAAAGACAGACGATCATTCCAGGGAAAACCGGGCCGCCGTATGCCATGATACCATCATACATTACTACATTCCAGTCTTCACCTGTTAATATCTGTAGAGAAAAAAAGACCTACATTTAGCACAAAAACCTTAATAGCTCAGCTATACAAAAAATTTAAAACAATGACTTCCTGAACTTTATGCTTTAAAGGGTTAGTTCACCCAAAAATGAAATTCTGTCATTAATTACTCACCCTCGTGTTGTTCGAAACCCGTAAGACCTTCGTTCATCTTCGGAACACAATTTAAAATATTTTTGAGTCAGCGCCGGCGCCACCCCACGCTCGTGTCATGATACTGTCGTGAACGTGCGTCCACAAGTGACGCAGTAGAGACGGAAATGTGGAATAAAGTCGTTATTTTTGTTTTCTTTGCCCAAAAAAGTATTCTCGTAGCTTCGTAACTTTACAGTTGAACCACTGATGTCACACGGACTACTTTGTCGATCATCTTGGTACTTTTCTGGACCTTGAACGTGGTAGTTACCTTGCTGTATATGGGAGGGTCAGAGAGCCCTCAGATTTCATCAAAAATATCTTAAATTGTGTTCTTAAGATGAACGAAGGTCTTACGGGTTTCGAACAACACGAGGGTGAGTAATTAATGACAGAATTTTCATTTTTGGGTGAACTAACCCTTTAAATGCATCATGCTTCTTTAAAAAGCATCGTACATGACAGATTTTTAATTATTTTTAATTATTTGTAATTATTTTTTGGCTTATTAAATAACACAACATAATGTTTTCAAAGTTGTAGGGGAGTTTATTACCTGAAAGCAGGTGAGCAGGGCCTGAGGAAAGGAATCAAAGGTACTTCTCTTGGTTTGCGTCTCGTCAAAGTTGAACTTCCCTCCAAATAACTGCATGCCAAGCAGAGCAAAGATGATGAGGAAGAGGAAGAGCAACAGCAGCAGGGAGGCAATGGACTTCATTGAATTCAGTAGCGAGGCCACCAGATTGGACAAAGCCGTCCAATGGCTGAGGAGGACAAGAGGGGCAAGAATTAGCAGGGCGGAAATGTGATAGGGAAGGAGAGAAACAACAGGAACAACACAAAGACACCAGAGAAAAGGGGGAATACATTTTTTCTTCTAGAAAATAACAAAATCACACATTGTTTTTAGACATGCTCTATATTGTACAGGGTTGCAAACGATAGAAACCTAAAAAATATCAATAGAAAATTAAACTTCTATAATATAAGCTTATATAATATTCAGTTTCTTAAAAAAAGAAAAAAAGGCATTTGAAAGAGTTTCCTAATTTGTACCCAATTAATGGAAGTGGCAAATTGTTTAAGAGGCCTGAGTACCGTGTGACTTTGAAGATCCGAAGCAGGCGGACGCAGCGCAACACTGAGATGCCTAGAGGTGGCATGATCTCCATCTCCACTAGAACTGTCTCCAGAATCCCACCGCACACGACAAAACAATCAAAACGGTTGAAAAATGCCACAAAATATGCCTGCAACCCCAGACTGTACATTTTCAACAACATCTCCACTGTGAACAACGAGAGAAGAACCTTATTGGCAATATCTATGAGAGAGACAGAAAAAGAAAGAGAGGCAGATATATAGATGTGATCACAGCCCAACCTTTTTGTCAACATGTAGGTAATTGGTAACACCATGATGGACTCCTTCTTTAAACCTCAGGAGAGAGAGACACAGCAGTAAGAAAACATCAGCTTTTAGAGCAGCTAATAAGAGTTTTATAAATAAAAGTGTGGCCGATGCTGTGAGACAGTACACATGCCATGTCAGTAAGGTGATGTTTGGAAACACCTACATACCCTGAACGTCTGTGAGCCAGTCTGGTTGGTTATAATGTTCTGAGGCACTGAGAGCCGTGTTGAGGAAGACCAGGATCAGGACCAACCAATAGAATGTCACAGATTTCACTGCTGTACGACAGTTTCTACGGATGTAACGGTTCCAGCGGCGCAGGGCACGACTAAGCAAACACACACAAAAGTACAAATCACTGTACAGATTTTTTGTTTTACAGTTAAATAAAAAATTCCATTATACACATGTATATATTATTGTGTATTATATGTATGTATATTTACCAAAATATACATATTGTTATGGATATACATAAAGTCCAGAACAATAAGTCATGAAGCATGTGATCAAAGCTGTTATAGAGGGCATGTACTGCAAAAAATTATTTGCATAATCTGCATTTTTGTACTTAATAAAATATCTGTAAGATACATTGTCTTGATGCGATGTATCATACATACAGATATTTTATTCTGGCAAAAATATCTTTATACCAATAGAAATGTACTTGAAAAGCAAAACTGCATAAGATAAGACTTATTTTCAGAGAGTATATCTTAAGTTTATTAAAGGAATATTTCCCCCCCTTTTTTAACATCTAGATTATTTCTATTGTTACTGTCTCATTTTGCTTTCAAAACTCTGGTCAGAAATCATTAATCAGATTAATCACAATTATTCTATTCTATTGACAGCCATTGTTTTAAACAGCAAGAAAAAATACTATATCTAACATTAATAGTGGTTATAAAAAATCTTGCAAAGTAAATGTTCAACAGATAATATTTTAATAACTTTCTTTGGCCTTAGTCTTTATAATATGATGCTTAATATTTTTCTCATATGATGTGAATGAGTCATTATAAATTATATAGCTGCCGTTACATTTTAGTTAGGGGGCCCTCAGAAAGGGATCAACATAGTTGGGGCCCTTGGGATCAAAACGTTTGAAAAAACCCTGTCTTACTTAATTGTCTCTGTATGGTAAACTAGTATAGGAGAAACAGGTGATCGACAATGAACAAGTGATATGAAGGACAAAGGGGTCTAAATGGTTAAACAGAGGAAGAGATCTCACGTCTGTTCCCATCCTCATCAAACTCATCAATGTCCTCAGCCTGAGTGATCCAGTCCATATATCCACACAGATCCTCCTCCATCTGCTGTTTCTCACGAAGCTTCTGGAAATCACCGCGAGCTTTCGCCTTCTCTCTCTCCTTAGAGAATTCTCTACACACAAGTATTGCCTGTTAGACAAGCAAAACAAACGCACACACGCACAATACAGATGCAAACACGCACTGTGGACTTTCACACTCTGCTTAAAGGAGAGGTAAGCAGAATCTTTGGGGAATCCTACGGTGTGCAGGAAATCAAACTTTGCAAATCTGCTACTATCAGCAATTGGGGATTGTAAAACATCTGATATCTGCTCATCTACTGCTGTCCTCTGTTAAACAATCACTCACACAGACATGCAAGCAAGTTAGAATGCACAGGTTTTAATGTCATGAAATGACAAAGTCTTAGCTCATAAATATTAATTGGGTTATGGACTAACTGTTTTAATACATAAATTGTCACATGTGATGTTTCTATCATGGTATTCGTGCTTTCAAGTCAAAACTGAAACGTAAACAATAACATTAAGATTACAAAAGTGGTAGAGTGGTAAATAAAGGGACAAAATCAGTCATGGCAAACTACTTGCCCACAAACACATCTATCCTATAAACTCACCCGCTCAACACACCCAACACAAGGTTGAGGACAAAGAAGGATCCAAAGATGACCAGACTGACAAAGTAAACCCACGGCAGCTCAAAACCAATTGCATCATTCATCTACAGAGATGAACACACAGGCAAAGGCAACTGTATCAGTGCCATACACAATCACGTCCTTAAAAGAGAATTATGGACCATTACAGTCAATCTGAAGACACAGCTTACGTAGTTACCCAGTACAAGACGTCTGTCCAGCCCTCCATTGTGATGCACTGGAACACAGTTAACATGGCAAAGAAGAAGTTATCAAAGTTAGTGATGCCGCCGTTTGGTCCCTCCCACTTTCCCCTGCACTCTGAACAAGAGACACAAAGAAAAGAGAAAGGGTCAAACACACATACACACAGCATACAATTTAAATGGATGCAGATACCAATAAGATTATTATAACATTGGCCTAATCATATTGTAATTTTAAAAATGATTGTCAATTATTATTTGTGTTTTATAAGGATAGATGATACTTTTTTAAACATTTTATTTGCCTTTTTGCCTTTATTAATTTATTTTAAATGAATTAAATGACAAATTAAGTTTTAAAAGTACAAATATTCCATGTATATGGAATTGTTGACAGAATATTAATATTAATTGTTGACAGAATGAAATAGGCTATTATAATAGGTACGTGTGTGCACTGGCACAACCCCATGACCTGTTCACAAGTGAGAGAGACAAAGAGGGCCGCTCTTGAGCTGGAGCTGGACTTTAAAATGGGGAATCTGTGAGCGTTTCAAAGGATTACTAATCTGTCATCCTCTCCTATCTCTCCCTCCCTCTCATTTGCCGCTGCTGGCGTACGACAGCAGCCTGTCCACAGTGGCAGCACACTTGTGTGCACACACATACTACCACCATTTAACCAAACATAGAGAGAGAAATAGCAAACTAACCACAAAAAAACCCAACACCATCTGTATAAGACAGAGGACAATACCATATGCACAGTAACCATACTCACACACACTGCTGTTCTTGATTTGATGTAAAGTGGCATACAACATAAACTTCCATTTGCTGGACCGTATGTCTCTGTCTGAAGTATGCAGAAGCTTTAAGCAATTTCTGAAGCTCTCAACTGCATATTCCCTTCCTTAGATGCACAGATAGACCATGGCAGCATTCAAAACCTTTCTTTTGTATCATTTTGGAAATTAATGATTGATAAATTAATAGTTAATGTTCATGTAGTATAATTAATTAAAATTAGACAAATAAATGCAATTAATTTAATAATAATAATAATTATTATTATTATTATTATTATTATTTTATTTTTCAAATAAGTTAAATATTTTTTGGATTAATGTATGCCAGTAGTAATAATAATAATAATATATTTTAATAATAATAAAATGGAAATTAATAAAATTACTTTTTTAATAATAAAAAAGGGGAATTAAATGGTAACAGGTAATATTTTCACTTCAAAAAACAAAAGTCAATTTCTATCTATTCAGCGCTTTCTTGTCTGCAACAATAGTGAAACCTCTTTAAATTATCTTCTTTTGAGGGAGTTTGTCAGCATATATTGGTGCAATTAATCGCAATTATTTAAATGAATTAATCTGCAAATCATGTAATTATTTCAATTAAAACTTGCAGTCGATTGACAGCCGTAGTAATTAGACACAAGCTTAGAGTGCTGAATGCCTTTGAGTAATGAACCGAAGACAACATGAAACCAAGATGATGGTTAGTAAAATATAACAAACAATATGGCAGAGGGAAAGACCAACCAGCTCTGTGAGAGAAGAGACTGAGAGCAAACACACACTCATTAAATACATGTCCCCTCCTTTGCACCTGGAATCCAGGATTTGGCTTTAAGCATCAGAACAAAGATGGAGAGCGAGAGAGAGAGATGGGGTGATGGGGGAAGGGTGATGAGAGACAGGGGAGGAAGAGTAAGCTGCTTATCAGAACCAAGAGCATTTAGAGCAGCCAAACGAACAGGCAGTTTGTACAATCTCCCCTGACCACCACTCTCTCTGCTCTCACTGTCTTTATAACCCTCCCTGTCTCTTTCTCTTTAACATCATTTGGGTGTCCTGTTATCCTACAAAAACCCAAAGAGGAAGGCAGTGCAGGTGAATTTGACATCTTTAAAATGCTAAACTCAAGATTAAACTTACATCATGCATTATTCTGTTTTCCGATTTCAAAGTAAACTTGTTTCTTCTGAGGGCATTATTGGCACTGTGAACTGTAATTAAAGGGACGGTGTAGAAGGAGGGGCGTGGTCTGGTAGCCGCTGAAGGTGGAGAGTGACAATTAATTTAATAATAATAATAATAATTATTATTATTTTTATTATTATTTTATTTTTCAAATAAGTTAAATATTTTTTGGATTAATGTATGCCAGTAGTAATAATAATAATAATAATAATAATAATATATTTTAATAATAATAATAAAATGGAAATTAATAAAATTACTTTTTTAATAATAAAAAAGGGGAATTAAATGGTAACAGGTAATATTTTCACTTCAAAAAACAAAAGTCAATTTCTATCTATTCAGCGCTTTCTTGTCTGCAACAATAGTGAAACCTCTTTAAATTATCTTCTTTTGAGGGAGTTTGTCAGCATATATTGGTGCAATTAATCGCAATTATTTAAATGAATTAATCTGCAAATCATGTAATTATTTCAATTAAAACTTGCAGTCGATTGACAGCCGTAGTAATTAGACACAAGCTTAGAGTGCTGAATGCCTTTGAGTAATGAACCGAAGACAACATGAAACCAAGATGATGGTTAGTAAAATATAACAAACAATATGGCAGAGGGAAAGACCAACCAGCTCTGTGAGAGAAGAGACTGAGAGCAAACACACACTCATTAAATACATGTCCCCTCCTTTGCACCTGGAATCCAGGATTTGGCTTTAAGCATCAGAACAAAGATGGAGAGCGAGAGAGAGAGATGGGGTGATGGGGGAAGGGTGATGAGAGACAGGGGAGGAAGAGTAAGCTGCTTATCAGAACCAAGAGCATTTAGAGTAGCCAAACGAACAGGCAGTTTGTACAATCTCCCCTGACCACCACTCTCTCTGCTCTCACTGTCTTTATAACCCTCCCTGTCTCTTTCTCTTTAACATCATTTGGGTGTCCTGTTATCCTACAAAAACCCAAAGAGGAAGGCAGTGCAGGTGAATTTGACATCTTTAAAATACTAAACTCAAGATTAAACTTACATCATGCATTATTCTGTTTTCCGATTTCAAAGTAAACTTGTTTCTTCTGAGGGCATTATTGGCACTGTGAACTGTAATTAAAGGGACGGTGTAGAAGGAGGGGCGTGGTCTGGTAGCCGCTGAAGGTGGAGAGTGAGTGCGGGGGAATTGAATGGTAAGGGAAGCCCCTCTGGTTGGTGTTTGCACTTTGCAGTGAGTCAAGAGACAGGTGAAAAGGAGCAGCGTGAGTGCAGAGAAGGGCTGCCTTGAGAGTGAACTGTGCATGGGAGCTGCGCTAAGGAAGTGTCTTGTATACTGAAATTTGAGTTGAAGCTGAAAAGCTTAAATGAAGTGTATGAATAAACTACGTGTGCTGCACAGCCGCTTCCCGAGCTTTATCTCCTTCATTTCCACCACTTCAAGTTTAAGCTTTCCCACAGACAAATAATGTCATCATCTGCTCACCCTAATGAGTGATTTAAAAACTTTTTCTTTCTTCTGTGGAACATAAAAGGAGATATTTTGAGAAATGTCTTATTTTTTGTCTATACAAATGAAGTTAGAGGGCCTCAATGTCGTTTGGACACACTCTTCCAAATATCTTATTTTCGTGGAACAAAATAAGGTAGTAAAGTAAAGATAACAGAATTTTTATTTTTGGGCGACCTATCCCTTTAAAATCACTTTGAACACACTTTTCCTCTTTAAATTCAATAATTAAGTTATTAAATAATAAGTTAATTTAAGTAGTCCACTAACAATGTCCAACAGTAAACATACAATACATATACTGTATCACAGAAAAGATCTGTAATTTTTACATTTAACCATTTTTGAAGGATTGTGTGACACTGAAAACTTAAGTAAAGGATGCTGAAAATTCCCAGGAATAAATTACATTTTAAAATAGGAAAATAGTTAAGAAAATACTACAATACTATATTGCAATTTTTACTTTATTTTTGGATCAAATAAATGCAGCTTTGATAAGCATGAGAGACTTCTTTCAAAAACATGAAAAAAATTGTAATTAATCCAAACTATGACCTGTGTGTGTGTGTGTGTGTGTGTGTGTGTGTGTGTGTGTGTGTGTGTACATGTAACAATGAAACGAAAACATTAAATACAACAATTGCAATGGAAAGAAAGGCTAAGTAAAATTAACTTCATATCATCACATCTGCTACTGAGCATTCCCAGTGAAAAGCACTGTGACTGCGGTAATACCCATAATACCTTGCACTTGAATAATTTAGTTATGTATGTTTAGTCAAAGCAGAGGGACTAATGAGTATGTTTTTTTTTCATTTTTAGAATTAAAAGATGTTTTAGCTCTATTTATTTATTTTGATATTTTATTATAAAAAATTAAGTCACCATTAGGGTCATTTGTGTTCCCTTTGCTTAAATTTCTGAGTTTGCTTTTTTTCTTCTTCAAACAAAATGCTTCTAAAACGGCTGACACAAAGGCTAACTGCATTTATTCAAAACCAAAGCCCATACACTTACTTTAAACATCAACACTATTATTTTGCTTCCTAGAAAGCATTGGTGTTTTTCTCTTGAAATGTAAATCTAGTCTGTATGCAATTCAGCAAGTAAATATTACAACCCCATAAAAAAAAGCTGACTCTGGAAGAAAACACTGTAATTCGTTCATTTGTTCATGCCAATGAACGAATGCTGTGATTTCTCATCTGGGTTGCACATTATGCCCTGTTGTCACTGCAGTGTCACTTCTCTTACATTTGAATGCAATTTTTTCTTCTATAAAAAGAAAGCGATGCTCTGATGGGACAGACATGAGGCAATGCCCGGGGGTCGTGCCCTGGGTCCTTATCGCATACAACACGATTGGTCTCCACTCTCTCATTTCCTCTCTTTCTCTTCCTGTTTCTCTCACACAAGCCTTAGGGAAGATCCCCTCCACTACAGAACTTCACAACACTTCAAGCATTTCAATACGAATGGGGCGCAGTCACACGCGCCTGTACACTCAAGATGACAGCGGGACAAACTCTGAGGCTCTCATGGCTGATTTGGCAAAGTCCAATGAAAGTGCTACTGTGCCGAGATGTGGAGAAAGGATTTCTGGACTTAAACGAAAGGTATTTCATTTGGTCCGACCCCTACTGAGAAACAATAGCTAGGGGCGCTTCTCTTTCATTTAC